CAGAGTGAGGAGGGGCCAGGATGAAAATGGAGAAAAGCACGGAGTCCAGATGGCTGGAATGCAGTGTGGATGGAGGGAAGTGATGTAAATAAAATAAGGCCAGAAAGCTGAGACTGAGCCAGATTGTGGAACATTTTAAATATCAGGCTAAGGATTATGTACTTAGTGGTACTCACTCTGCGGCAATGAGGAGCCACTGAGGGTGATCAATGGAACGATTTTAATCAATTGCTAGGATAACTGTTTGAACTTGGAATTGGTCAGCTTTATGATTAAGATGCCAAATTATTCAAATAGCAGCATAACTGGAAATAGTTACAACTGAAAATGAGAATAGCAGCATAACTGGGATAAGAAACGTAAATATGTTTATAGTGTTCTTAGCACCTAGCAGTCAGTGTTCTGACCAGAATGTGCTCAAAAACTGTTGAAAGAATGAATCAGTGATCTCTCTGGTTTCTTTCTTATTTAGACATTCTATAGCCTATTTTTCTAACATCCTATGTTTCAAATTCTTTTCTAGCTCAAATATTCTATAGTATCCTATGTCTCTCCCAGTGCTTAGTCCCAATGCTATGCACATAGTAGGTACTTAATGCTTAATTGCTGCAAGAAGGAATAAGTTCTAATCATTTAAAGTCATTCCTGCAACCTTCCAACACTGAATCATAGGATTTCATTTGGATACCAGTTCAATGCCTTGCACCTGGAGCAAAGTATAGCAAAAAGGAGCTGTCTTGAAATTTGGCAGCATATTCCTGAGAGGCAACAGATACATTTTAAATCCAGTATCTCCTGGAAGAAGTTTTCATTTGAAAACTACACAATCATGCAGCTCAAATAGAGGCCAAAAGACAGCTATTAAAAAAAAAAGAGGTTCAGCAAGAACAGTCCACCCCTTTGAACTATTGTCATTCTTTCTCTGTCCTCTCTACCCCAATCCATAGTAACAGGACAAAAATGGTGACTTGGACCATTGTCTGACTTTTCAAGGTCTATGCTTGTCTGCCTCCCATCATGGGCTCTGAGCGCTGCCCTCGATGCTGCTCTCTCCACTCTTCAGTTCCTGTCTAAGTGTGCCCACTGGGCACAGGGGTAATTTACCTGAAAGCCCAGGGCAAAGAGCCATTAACCTCAACTTCTTCACTACACACCTGGGTCTTTTCAAAATCATGAAAGTCTCCAACTGCCACATCAATGAAACCATGAAGGATTCTCTGGACAGTAGCCAAATTGCAGTTGTTAATTTAATAATGAACTTAAACATTCCAAAAAACTCACAGGATCTCACTGAAGCTGAGTTACTTAAAGAACCAGACCCCACCTTTTTTTTTATAAAGATGAACACTTGCCCCATCCCTGCAATCACAAATTGTAGAAGTTCAAAGGTGAGAGGGAGACCCTCTGGACAATGGGCAACATCCACCCTAGTTCAGGTCCTCATCACCTTGCCTAGACTATTAATTACAGTTGCTTTGTTACTGGTCTCCTTGTTTCCAGTCTCCCTCTGTCCAATGCATTTTACATAAAGTTGTCAAATATTCTTAAAGCACAGGCCTGACTATGTCACCTCCCTTGCTCAAAAAGCTTCTGTGCCTGCCTATTGCTTTTAGGATAAAATTTCTTTGTTTGACATTTAAAGCACTTTGCCATCTGGCTCCAACCTATCTTTTCAGATAGATCTATTCCACATCATTCCAACTTGTGCAATCTCTTTTCCAGTCAAACTATCCTATTTGCTGTTCCCCATGCATGACATCACAACTCTCCTCCCTTATCTGTGCATATGGCCCATCCCTTCCTCATGGCTGGAATACTCTCCCTCCTCACAACATTCTTCTCCCCCCCCCAAATTCATTTAGTATTTCCGTTTACTTATTTATGTCCATGCTGTCCCTCCCTTCCCTCAAGGAAGTTCTCGGAGGACATCTTTTGTTGTTTTTGATCATTGAATCTCCAGCATAGTAGTCTTTTAATAAATGCTTATTAAATTGAATTGAACATGTGGCAGAGGTCATCTAGATTACCTGGTACCTGAACAAGAATAAATCAATCCCTTCTTGGATTGAGAAATCCTTTCTACAACATCTCTGGCAAGCAGTCATATGTTCTTTGGTCAAAGACTTCCAGTGGTAGAGAATTCTATAGTTGACATTTATATATCACTTTAAAGTTTGTAAAACACAGTAGATATATCTCATTTCAGCCTCACAATGGCTCTATGTGGCAAGTAGAAGTTATTATTCCCATTTACAGATAAGAAAACTGAAGCTCATGAGTTAAGTGACTTGTGTTCTGTCCCTTGAGATGGTCCATTCTTCCTTGACTGAAGTTGAAATCTGCTTTCCTATATCTTCCCCCATTGTTACTTTTGATCCCTCAAGCCAAGCAGAATAAATATAATTTTTCTAGATTTTCTATGACAGACCTTTAGCTATTTGAACAGTGACCACATATCCCCTAAGTCTTCTCTTCTCCAGGCTACTCATGCCCAGTTCCTTCAATCAATTTTTGTACATCATTATTTCCAGTTCCCTTACTATCTTGGTTGTCCTCCTCTGGGCAAAATCAAGCTTGTCAATACCTTTCCCAAAATGTGGTGCCCCAAGCTGGGCACAGTAGTCCTGGCCAGTTCAGAGGACAGTGGGACTAGAAGCAATTGTACTCTGAACAGATTTCTGTTCTTGTAGCCTATGGTCACATTAGCTGCCATGCTAAAATGAGATAATCTATATACAGCACTTTGTAAACCTGCAAGAGCTATACAAGTGCCAGCTATTACCATTGTTAAAACCACCAGATCATTTTTATTCTTGCTGAGTCACATCTTCACCCCCCTGTACTTGTGCAGCTGATTTTTAAGTAGGGAGGAGGTGAGTGCTTTGTCACTGGAGAGCTTCAAGTAAAGGCTGGATGACCACTCGTTTGGAATGTAATAGAGGGGATTCCTGCTCAGGTATGAATTAGACTTGATGCCTTCTGAGGACCCTGCCAGTTCAGATTTTGTGATTTTATATTTATACTTCAATGTATCTGATCTCACATCCAGGGAGTATCAACAGATACTTGCACATCACAAATAATTTCATCCTGTGCAATAATTTTTCATGTTTTCCCATAAATCCTCCATAAACTGGCTACCTGACACACTGGGGGTCTTCTTCTAGTTATCCTTCCCCTTCTTGCCCATAACCTGAAAGCAATGATTTAAAAAAAAAATAACTAGGACAAATCCAGAGATCTAAAGCACTAGAGACTTCCCTCTTCATGTAACTAATCCATCAATCAGCAATGGTCCAGTTGTCATCCAGTTTTGAATCCACCTAACTGTACTTTTATCCATTTCAGGGAAATCTGCACATGGTCAGGGTACTCTTCCCCAACCTAGTATCCATAATTCCACAGTTTCTCATTCATTCAGGAGGTTATAAAGGAATAATAGCAGCATACCTACAGCACACAATAGTTTACACGTTTCTCTGCCCCACCCTACCAAAAAAAAAAAAGCAAACCAACCACCTTTGAGATGTAGGTAGGGCAGGAATTATCCCCATTTTACACATAAGAAAACTGAGGCTAAGAGAGAGGGAAAATGTTTCACTTAGGTTTTCTGACTTCAACTCCAGCGTTCCACTTCCTCACATAAAATGACATCATCTAAATCAACAATTATTAGAACCATAAAAAGAACCAACAGGAAAGCCTCCTCTCATTTAACTCCTACTTGTAAGAGTAAATACTTCTTGGCAAGTTCACCGGTTCCAGTCCTGTGATTTTGCTCCCAACAATGGAATTTTTATATTCATCAATTGATGATAAAAACCCCTAGGGCCAAATGCCAGAAGATCTGAAGTGAGCCCAAGCATTGCACACTTTGCACCTTTACATTTCAACCTAGATGAAAAAATATAGGGATGATATAGTGGACTAGCACTGGACTACTCCAAGTTCTGACCTTGGGTAAATCACTTCTCTCTCTGGGCTTCAGTTACCTCTGTGTAATGATGGGAATGGAAAAGATGCTTTCTAACATCGCTTTCTGCTCCAACATCCTATGCCTAACCAATGACAGAACAAATAAGAAAAGGGACAAACAAGAGGACTCCAAAATCCAGAACTGTCTTCTGAAACCAGTTATAGGTACTTTGTTCACCAGATAAGGCCCTATTATATGTCTCACCCACCTGACCTTTGCCAAAACATGCCAGTAAAGACCTGTCCCTCTACAGGACCACTGGACCTTGGGAAAGGAGGGAAAGAAGCTAGAAGGTCCCTCTTCGGAGAAGATCCCATGATGGAAAAACTAGCCACTGATCACATAGAATATGACACAGAAGGAACTGACCAGCACAAGGGACAGTCGTTTAGCAAATGGCAGGGGTGGGGTGGTGGTGGTGAGATCCAGTCGATAAAGGGAAGCAGCAAGTTCTCAATGGTAGACAAGAGAAGGGGGCAGCTCCTTCCTACTTTGGGACCAGGAAACTGGAATGGTTCCTGAGGTCTAGAAAATGAGGCAGAAAGGGTAAGTGCTAACAGAAAGCAAGAATCTGGAGGTAAGAAAATGAAGGTGACAAGAGGAAAGAATTGAGAGAGGCAATTGGAGGGGTGCGGTAGGAAAGGAAGTCCTGGGGGCATACAGGAGTGAGAGGAAGGATCCCCCAGCACTGGGGACACTCCTTGGGAAGCATCTTAGGCATCTACCATCCCCACAGGGTCAGAAGGGAGCTGACAAGGTAAGGGCGCCCAGACCTCACCTGGGGATGTCCACCTGCCTCCCCCCTACATCATGTGGGCGTTAAAGGGGACCCTCCCCTTTGTCAGCATCATAATCTGTCCCATCCCTTCAGGGTCAGAGCAGACCCCCTTGCCCGGGGGGTGGCGCGCCTGGGTTCCCCGCAACTATCTGGGATCATCCCTTCGGGCTCCGAGGCTAGCTCTTGGAGAATTATCCGGGGTCTCCCCGTTCCCGCGTCCGAGGAACATAGGGCGGGCAAGCTCACCTGTGCGACCCCCGCTCTGACCGCCGCTGCCGCCTCGGCACCCTCGGGGCCGCTCTCCAGCTGCCTCTCCCGGTAGAGAGCCCACAGACCCACGTTGGGCAGGAAGACGAGGGCCGTCAGCCCCAACGCCACAGCCTGCAGGAGCCGCTTCTCCTTCCGCTTCATCGGGGCCGGTCCCCCCGGCGCGCGCCCGCCCCGACCCCGGGCACCAACTCCGCGGCGCCCGTAGCAGCAACAGAGGCGGCAGCAGCAGCGGCCGGGAGAAACGGCCGCGGCCCCGGCCCCAGTCCAACTCCCCGACACTTCCGCTCCGCCGAGAGAGGAGGGGAGCTGGGCGCTACCACCACACCCCCACCTCGGGGAGAGGGGACGAAGACCCACCACCCACTCTCCCCCAGCTTCTCCATTCCTGCCAGGTTACACTAGCCCCACCGCCTCCCACCTCGAAAAGACCTTTCTGTACTCCAGGTCAACCTTAATCCGCTCCTCATCCATGGCTGGCCTCAGCCGGCCTTGGTCATGAGATGGGGGGGTGAGTTCGTGCTCCCCCTCGCCGGTCCCCAAATGGTCTCACCCGCCCGCTGGCTTAGGTAAAGTCCAGGAGTTGACTGAAGGGAGGGCTAACAGGTCGGAATGCTGGCTCGTAACTGGGGTTGGTAGAGGTGGCTGGCTGGCAGTTAGGTGTGGTTCAGAGGACGCGGCCAAGCGGGAGGGACGCACCTTCACCTTGGGCAAACTGCGTTATTAGCCCCTGGATAAGCTGGTCCACCTGGAGGAGACCACTCCCATGGGTTTGAGGGGTCAAGGTTTCTGGGCCCTCGAAGACAGGGAAGGGGATGACAGTGTGGGGATCGGTCGGACTGGGGCACGTGTGACTAGTGAATCGAAGTTCTGGGCGGGTGAGGCTTTCCTGCCCTCTAGGAGCCACAGCCCCCCAGGCGCCCCCTGCTGCCAAAGCGGGTGATAGGTGCCCAAGAGGCGCCAGTTTCATTTTGGGGAAATGCGGTGGGGTCAGTCTGAGTTCTGGGAAGAGCGGGGGAGGAGAGGGGAGGATGCGGAAGGGCCGCAGTTAGAGCCCCTGAGACTGGGCGGCGGGGGGGCGGGGGGGGAGGCTGAGCTCCGCCGGGGAAGGGACAGACAACAGCACCCCATCAACCCCCTATTGATATCGACTGGAACGAATGGGTTGCGATGAGCATCATTGGATGGAGTACCCCACATTGCAGAGATTACAAACCCACTGCAGCAATACTTTTTAAAAATAAAATTTTATTTTCTCAGTTGTCAAGCATTTGCTTTTTTCTTTCACCTCCCTCTTCACTGGGGAGAGAGGGGCAATCCACGTAACAAGTATAGTCCAGCAAGACAAATTGTACGTGGGAACAATATTGATAGTTTACACACCCATAGTTCTTTTACAGAACATTTTCAACGCGTTTTGCTTCCCTAATCCCATTTGATCCTTAGACCAGTCCTCATGGAATAGGCAGCAGATATTATTAGCTACATTTCACAATATGAGGAAAAGGAGATTTCAGAGATATGGAATTGCTAGGACACCACTAGGTAAACAGGTGGGGCTGGGACTGAAATAGGTTTTCTGGTTCCTATGCTCTTTGGCTACAGTCCACCAGCCACCCAGTTGGGGGGGGGCAGGCGAGGTATGTATAGATACATACCTTACAGACGGACTTGAGAGAGGGGGCAACAGCTTAGTTCCTTGTGACTTAGGGTTATAATGCTGGTTGATGAGAGAAAGAATCCTTATGCAGCAAAAGCTTTCAGGTTCTGTGTGACAATGTAAAGAACAGTGGACAGAGAGAATGAGATCCTTTTCTAAGGCTGCCATGTAATCTTTGTGCCACGTTGAACAAATTAATTTCCTGAGTTTCCTCATCTATACTAATACTTAACACTACCCACCTCCCAGGGTTGTCATAAGGAACAAATGAAAGACTTTTGCACAACTTTTGCAATCCTAGACTACTAATCAGATATGAATATTATTAATATGATTACTAAGAAGCATTGTTAGCTGTGGTGGATTGGAAGTCACAAGTTATATCTTCTAGACCCATCTTTGTTTGGTCAGATCACTTTCCTCCATGGAACTCCCCATGGGTAATATGAGAAAGTTGACCTATATGATGAATGAGGCCCCTTCAAGCATTCATTCTAAGTTCTAAGGTGTCTTTCAGTTCTCATAGGTTGTGAGTTTGTTGACAGAAGCTTTATAAGGTTTACTCAGATACCAAGTAAGACTATTCTGTTATCCAGGAGAACAAAGTTATTAAGCCAGGTTAATGAAAACCACAATAAGAACATATGGTGGGGGTAGGGACTGGGGAGAAAGAATTGGCCATAACTGTCTTCTAAAAGCAAGCTAGGCAGTGAATATGTTCTTAAGAAAAAGAACCACCAGCAAGGCAGGGATGATACAAACATCCTACCCTCTGGGAGCCATCACACTGCTGGGGTTGCCACTAAAATAAATAGCAAGGGTTATGCAATTAGAGTGCTTGCTGTTTTAATTACTTTTCCTTTTTGTAGGAAGGTGAAAAATTCCTTATGAAAAAATATAGTTTTCTTGTCATTTCCTTCCTCTCCAGCAATTCAATGGGAGCCAGTCATTTTGTTTTCCACTAGGTGGCATGTTTCAGCAAACTTGACTGTGGCTGAGTAAGAGCAACATAATGAAGTATTCAGAGAGCCGGCCAAAGTACAGTGACCTAACTGGCCTTCTGTGAATGGGTGAGAGGAATACATGTTAATGGGAGCAGAATCAGAGAACCAAGGAGTTTGAGGGATTTTAGGACATAGAATGTCAAAGCTGGAAGAGACCCTAGACAATAAAATATTAAAACTGTGAGGGACTTGGATGAAACATGTAATGTTAAAGTTGCAAGGGGCTATGAGAATCATTTAATCCAATACCCCATCATTTTACATATGGGGAAACTGAAGCCCATAGAGGGGAAGTGAATTACCCAAGTTCACACAATGAATCAATGACAGAGTTGGAACTTGAACTCAGGTCTTCAGATCCCCAGTCCAACATTCCCATTCACCGAGCTGTGATTGATGGATAACATAGTGATGACACCTGAATAGTTTCTTTCAGTCTGCAAGATTCCCCTAATCATATTCTCTAGTTTCTCCTTCTGCTACCTAACTCTATCCATCCTACATAGATCTTCTGGGCCCTTCAATAACTCCCTATTTTCTAATCTCGTACCTGCTTGGGATAGTCCTTTCAACTTGCTCTCACACTTAGGGATTGAGTTCTTGAAGGGTTTCTGCTACCTCAGATTCTAGGAGTAACTGTGGGTCTGCACTTCTAACACTATCCCTCATGACCCCACAAAAGTATGCTTCCCATTAATAATCAGCCAATAGACACAATCAGTGCTTAGCAAAGACATTTACTAAAGAGGCATGGTAAGAGTAGTAGGTACACAATACTGCCTTCTCACAAACCTGGGGTTCAGTCCCCTATAAACACACAAGCATCTGTAGGAACAGGCACAAACTTAGAGTAGTGAGGCACACATGTACGGAACATATGTGGCTAAAGCTATTCAATATTTTAATACTCCAGGGCCTGCAAGTCTTTTTTTTTTTCCTAGTAGAATCCTCATGGAGTTTTCCCCTAGGGACAACACCACTTTTAAGTGAGTTGTTCATGGGGTTCCCAGCAACTACCTGTCTTCACAGTTCTACTCTTGATTTCTGGGGCTAGCTGTCTCTTGAGTCCATAGCAGGCTATCTTTTCTACTGACAGAGGTCCTCCTTGTTGAAGCTGCTTCTGGCCTCAAGTGACTGCCCATCTGTATCTGTCAGGAATGTATATGTCTGTTTTCAGTGGTATATGGTCTCTCCTACTGGTTTAGTGACACAGAGTGACAGAATGACATAGCCAATTGAGGGGAGGTGCAGGAAAGGGAAAGAGATGTGTCAGCATTCCCCCTTTCCCACACTCCTTCAGGCTGTCCCAGGTATAGGGGTCCATTTTCAGCCCAGCTAATCACCATTTCTCCTTCTGACACTGGTCTCCTGGCTTTTCCCTGAACAAGATATTCCATTTCTAGACACTGGTAATTTTCACTGGCTTAAATGTAGTGCCTTCCATCTTTTGATTATTCCCTTTTTATCCTGTATTTAGCTTGTTTGTACATATTTATTTCCATGTTGTCTCCCACATTGGATTGTGAGCTCCTAGGGCAGGGACTGTCTTTTATCTTTCTTTATATCCCCAGCCTAGCTCAGTGCCTGACACATAGTAGGTGTCTAATAAATGCTTATTAACTGGCTTCTTCATCCAGTCCATAAGCATTTATTAAACATCTGCATGTGCCCAGAGAAAGAGGATCATATTTTGTAAAGGGATCACTGAGTGTTAATATCTTTTCAACATCAATACTTAATTACCTATTCTCTTATATTTACTTTCTGTGACCACATTAACTATGGGGAAGAGGTGGGAGGGAAAGAGATCAAATCCTCCCCCTTACATCAACTCAATCTCAACTCTTTTGACTGTCTATATTGTTGTTCCATCCTACCTACCTAAACAGTTCCACTCCTTCCTAAAATGAACCTATGCCCTGGCCAGTCTGGTTCCCTATGTCCCCCAAGAACATGTAATACGTAGTTATTATAACCGTTATTCACCAAGTTTACTTCTGTCTTCATGCCTTTACTGTAGCCAGGATGGTTATCCCCTGCCCCTTTCAGCAATAATAATCATAATAACAGCCCATGTTTGTGTATTACTTAGTAATTATAAATTTTTTTAGTGTTTTATTAGTTTAAATCCTCACAAAAACCTTGTTTTGAGTGGCAGGCTCCAGGACAGTTAGTTATTGTTATCATATTTTACAGACAAGGAAATTGAGGCTCAGGTAGGTTAATAGCATATATTTACAACTGGAAAGGGCATTATAGGTCATGTAGTCCAATCCCTTTCATTTTGCAGAGGAAGAAACTGAATCCTAGAAAGAAAAGATTGTGATGACCTCTGAGGTCCCTTCCATCTTTATAGCCTGTGATTCTATGATTTACCCAATGTCACACAAGTAGTAAAGTAGCAGAACTAGACACAGATCTTCTGATTACAAATCTACCCCCCCCCTTTTTTTTTCACAGCACCACAGGAGAAATGACTTGCCCAAATTCATGCAACCATAA